GGTATTCTTGTTTTAAATAATATCGAATCAGCTCGATATTGTGTATTTAAAAGTGGCATATATCCAAAAACCTGAAACGAAAAGTTAAAATTTCTATATTTATTAAAAATGCACGCTGCAATCTTCTGACATTGTTTCTCTTACTTACTTGAGAGAAGAAGTTAATGCACTTGTGTCTTTCCCGGAAATGTGTGTCATCTTCTGAAAGAGAAACTGGGCAGCCAGGACATCTAAAGGTCCAGCGTGATGTGACCTGTACAAAATGAACATAACAAAAATGGAATGTTCATATTGTAAATATAATCATCATTTTACTGACCTTAACAGGTGGTTTTCTTGTGATGTGGGAGATGAGGAAATTCATAGCGATATCCTCGCAATTCATATATTCGTCAACTTTATCTCGAATGGCTTGCGGTAACCAATGAGTGTAGAGATATGTGTAATGCTTATGAATGAATGCAGCACCAGTTAGAACCATTGATAGCTCACATGAATAATTAGAATTATAGTTCCAGGCATTGTGATAATTCTGGTCCCATGCGTGAAAACGGCCAGGAAATCCAACTACGCGATCTCGATGTTCTCTCCACACTCTATAGACACGATCAATATATTCATATCTAACTTTTTTAATGTGATATACATAAAAATAATTACAAGTACCTAAATCCAAACATAATTTCATCGTGTCTTAAATGAGCATCATCGTCAATTGACAAGACAGCTTCTGTTTCGATAGCATCGAATGGAAGAAACCTATTATTTAAACTGTTCCTTGGTGCCTTTATGACCTAAGTACAAGAAATTTTTTTATTTAGACAATGATTTAGAAAATGTTTCTGCTTTCATTAACGAAACAACATAATATATTACATGAATTGGAACTCCAATATCTGGCCACTTTAAGTCTTCCATAGGTGATTTAGGACTATTCCACACTACTACAACTTTATTTAAATATGGTAGCCCATAAAGCCGAGCCAAAGAGTTTATAAGAACCTGTTCACGCTCATAAGTTAACATTACAATTGTATATTGTTCTCTCGGATAATTTCCACCCAAAGCTTCGCTAAATTCTTTGCCAGCGCCTCCTGCCCCTTTACTAATTGGTCTGAATCCTACTTCAGATCCTAAAATTGGTAAAATATAAATGAAAACGTTCATATTAACGGACATGTTGAATATTAACTTTGTTTACCAAGGAATTTCGCGTCACTGGGAAGGACGGTATCGAAAGGCAATTGAGGATATAAATAGAATGGATCCACCCAATCGTTCCAGATTTCATTGCTTTGAAGTAACATTGTGGTATAATTTCTCTTAAAAGCTGGGGATGGATATGGTGGTTCAAGAGGACCCAAACTTTCCTCAGCTTCTGGCTCGGTAATAATAGCATCAGACTTCAAAGGCTACAAGAAAATAGAATGATTACGAATAATGAAACACAAACAATGTAATTGAGTTTTACAGTGGTTACCACAAAGCTTTCATTAAAGACACTTGGACTGGCAGTTTGAGGTGCTGGCAACGGGGGTATACCGAGTCGATCCCTAATTACTGCTACAATAGTATCTACTGCACCCTGTGCAGTACTTAGGTAGCGTTCCCATATTAATCTGCCCTGTCTACGCATACTTAACAGATCAGTATCAGGTACTGCACGCAACAGAAAATGCATTTCAGTTACCCTGGCCTAAAATTCAAAATGTAATTTAATGCAGAAACAACATTACATTAAGAGTACAGCATATTTTCTACCTTTGGCAAAAAAATTGCTGCCCTACGCCAACTAATAACTTCATTGTAACTCAATATTATTTGATCGCCACCTAAAAAAACTGGAATGGATCCCGACCGTAGAGCTTCATACAATCTAGCTTGCATAGAAGAAGTAGTTACGAACGAAGCATTGCTGGGTGCTAAAATTAAAGCAAACGTTGATTCCTTTAATATATTCTTCCTCGAAGACTCGGTTCCACACAGGGACCAGTCAAGAATTTCTATTACATTCTTCTCCTCTGATGCCGGTATACATTCAAACTGAATAAAAAATTTATCCAAAGTCATTCCGGTACTCATATCTTTCAGATGTTGGATGATGAACATATCCAAATTGTTCTCATCAACTGCTAATCTTTCTAAATCTACATCAGCATCATCATTTTGATGTGTCATAGTTGTAACTCTTGGAGATCTCATTTCTCCTTGAAAAGATAACAAATATTTTCTTCTTGCAGGTAACATATGAGAACAATCTTGCCACACATCTCCACCCGGAGGTCCCAAAATTGGAGGAATGACCAGATCAAAACCTTCACGAAACTGATTTCTATAAAATGTTGATTGCACTATTATAGCTCTTCCTGTATCTAGGTTGTTAAAGACATTTCCAGATTCTACAGATAGATCTCTACGTGCTAAGTTTAATAAAATGTGATTTCTGCCATCTCCACCCCAATAAGGAAGTGCATGCAATTTTCTTATATCGATAGGCTTTTGGTAATTCTTATCAATTTTTTGTTCAATGGGAAGGACTTCTCCTATGAGTACAATGTATATACAAGCTTCAGCTGCATTTGCAGTAAGATGTGGATTGTATCCTGATAAATATAACATATATCTCAGATAAAAATGTACTTGTATATGTATATAAATTCATAAATTCATTAAGATACAGATATACCTAGCGTCTGTTTAATAGTAGTTTTTAGAAATCCGTCAACACCCCAACCAGGATTAACTATCGAAAACTGATCCGGATCATATAAATATATTGGGAAACCACTTGTTAATGCACAACGACTATGATCAAAACAATTGTACATTCTGCACGAATGTGGCATAATACTTTGTAATACTACAGGAACGGAATCCATTAATATCCGCTTAGGAGGTGCCAATTCTGGTGTATTTCTTTCTACTGCTTCTCTTTGAGCTACTTGAGCTTGTTCAACACTGATTTTTAATCTATCAAGATCAGTCTGCTGATGCAACAGTTCCTGCTTTAGCTCATCAATTTTTTGAGTTAAACTGCTAACTTCAACTTGAAGCCTTTGCCTTTTTGCACTTAAGTCTCTAAGTTCGTTATTTACAGAAACTTTAATATGTAGCATCTCCTCAATTCTCATTTTCAACTGAGAAGCTTTCATTGGAGTAAAATCTTCAAAAGCTTCCAAAGTAGAAAATGTACGATAAATATCTCTGTCTGGAGAATCAGACTCCACCTATAATATAAATTTCATTATTGTAAATGAATTTTTTATACTTGATAATATTTCATACATATTCAGAAAATAAACAATACCTTTGACAAATAATAATGAGTAAATAATGGTACAATAAATAAAACAGCAGAAGTTAACATTATAATTCTAGATAACTTGATATGTGTTATCCAATGACAAATTTCTCTTCCACTTCCATTTTGATGATATAATGGAAGTAATTCAAATATGCTTCCTCCCATTGTGATTGTTATAGACAATTGTTCATGGTTATTTAAATCTTAAATTACTGGTGTTGCTTTCTGATTGTTTGACAAATTTCTGTAAACACAATAAGGGGACTGAAACATACTAAACATGAAATCTTACATACAAAATTATCAATCTATATAAAACATTAGCATCTTTTCATATCTACAATGACAAAATTATAATACTAAGGAACGTATGTATATCTCACCAAAAACATGATAATAGCGGAATTTTTATTGGCATTATCGATTAGTAAGCTAAAAAGGAAATTATGCTTCTCTCAGTTGTTTGTCAATTATAATTGGCGTTTATTATAAATGAATCATGGACTTCATTATAAAAGAATCCAGGAATATATACTATCCTTTGAAAAAGACTAAGTCAAATGGAATACGTGATGACAGTTGTCAAAATTACTTCAACACCACTTCCATTCGAAGAACGGCATAGAGGTTATTAATTATAAATCAGCATCGATATCAACGTTCTTGCTTCCCTCCATTTGTTTATTCCACTTATTCGTCCGTTTCAGTGGGTCCAAGCCACCAAGCTCACGTATTAAAATTTGGTACAAAGTTTGTAGCGCCACGTAAGAAAAATTCACCCAACTAAAATGTGCATAACATAAATATGCATTACATGCGCATCCACTCCACATTTTAGTTGGGTGAATTTTTCCTACGCGGCGCTACAAACTTTGTACCAAATTTTAATACGTGAGCTATCTATCCTTGTCCCAGTGCTTCCTACTTTTTCCGCAACTGTCGCTGAAGTCAACTCCGAGTTTTGCTGGGTCTCCTGCGCAGTGCTCATTGTGGCGTTTACTTGATCCTTCGTATTTATTATTGCGACACTCAAACGGTTAATAAATAAATTATTATATTCCTTTTTCATAAATAAAAACAATAATCAGATGTTTGTATCTATTATATTAATTTATGGTCCACACTAGTTAACTGTTAAACACTATTATATTAATTTATGGTCCACACTAGTTAACTGTTAAACAGATTCTTTTAAGTAGATTTTATTCTTATTGAGTTGTTTCTTCAGAAGTTATACATTTTAAGTGATACGTTTCATTGATTTAGGACTTATCATATGTTACAGTTGTATGTTGTTACTGCTAACTACATAGGAACTGAGAAAACATGGGAAGTACAAATATGACAGACGAACAAAAAAAATTTCTGGAAGAATGTGAAAATGAATTCAAAGATCGTTATTCAGAAAAGGATAGTGCATTTATGAAAATTAAAAATATGGAATTAAAGAAGCCACCAATTGTGGATCCTTGGTATAACAAACCACGTAGATCTCAATATGAATGGATGCGTCAGAATCATGGTCATGGGAGGCGCAATAATGCTTGGGACAGATGGAACGACAGAGGCAATAAACACGACCGACATTCTGATAAACATTACTCTCACCATAATTATAGACCATATTATTAACCATATTAACATTTATTTTTCCTTGTACATAGACTGGCATATAAGAAAAGATTGTAAAATAAAGATTACACAAACAGGTTTTTAATCATATTGGATTGTACATTTATTTCTATTTATTATATTCACAGTTTACTTATAAAGTTTAAAAGAAGGAAGATGATATAAAGGCAAAGAAAAAATATTTTATTTAATTCCTATACATATTCATACATTGACTTTATGACGATCCTTTCCATTTACGTTACATTAAATTCAAATTTTTTGATAAAGTTTACTCCATTATCGATGGTTTTAAATGCCGACTTGCAAAAGAACAAACATTTTTATCAATTTTTAAGTAATTCGATAACTGTGATTGGTGATTTTAATAAAATTTTTTTTGGTTAAATTACACGTACATAGAGTCACAAATTGTTTACGCGTATTTTGCAAAAATAAGAACGACCGAGCACTTAAACGATAGATATGCACAAGAATAAGTTGGATTTTTATAACGGCAGCAAGTATAAATATAACTCGTTAATAATACAAACAGTACATGTGCACGAAATGTGTTCACCAAACAAAATAATCAGTAGTTACAATTCATACCTGAAACACGTGTCCCTTTTATCTTTGTCAGGTGTGATTACACATAATCGATTAATGCTGAACATTTTATGAGTTAAATGGTCAAGTGAGTGTACTTTGATTTGAACAAAGAATGCCTGTCAATGTAACAAACACGTTCAAAGCACGATTGATACATGTGTGCTGATGCATGCGAGTGAATTAAAAAGTATACACTTTGAGATTACAGTTCACGTCAGTCTTTGGTTCTATATACATCTAGTTATTTGTTAATTTAACTCGTGTTTTATATTTGCCAGTACGAATTAAATACGCGAGGGTCTATTAAAATAGATTCAGTAAAGACTTTTAGTGCTACAAAGATCAAGTGTTTTTAAATCAATAGTGGTGTATTTCATCCAGCTGTGATATATTTACTCAGATGACACGCATTTGCGCGAATTTTTAAAGGAATTTATAATACGTAAAATGCTGCTTTGCTGATAAAGTTTATAAATAGTGCATTGGAGGTGATTACCCATAAGTTGTTGAAAGTTTTTGGCTATAGAAATATTTATGTAGGATATTCATTTAGTGAAAAAAATAAGTGATCTAGTCTAAATTTCTGTTTTTCTTGTGATGTACATTACTTTATTTTTAACGATATATGAAACTATTAACATAAAGTTAACAAAGTCTAAAAAATATTTGAAATTATAAATACCACTTACATGATTGTTCTATAGATAGAAGAATTTAAACTATTTGTTAGTTTTTTTGTTGGGATAAATTCATGTATAGTAATGTGTATCTTTCTCTTATCAGGCAAAAACAAAGGAAAGATATATTTAAAGCCATTGAAGATACTCTTAAATGTGCTTACTTATTTGTCATGAAATAACAATTCTTCTAATATAGAGTAAATTATACAATAAGATATACATATATTTAAAACCTATTTTTATTATTTTTTTTGCTTAACAAACTACATTTTACTTTTTCTTTCCAGATTTGTAATTATATGAAAAAACTATAGTCGATTAATTTATATCAGTTTTATATCATAATTTTCAATGGATTGGTACAGGAAATTATTTAGTAAAAGGTAACATTTAAAAAAAATTGATATATTAAGAAATATTTTTTTTTTCTTTCCTTCAAACAGTAGATCTATAGAAACAGAGTATTGCCATTTTAATACTGACATAAAAATGTGTATTCAGAAATACTTAACTTGAAGTGTTAAAACAGTTATATCCTGTTTTTTAGATCCATTGTTCCTGTGGATGACGACTTAGAAACTGTTGCCGAGAGAAAACAACGATGGAGGAGTATCTATGCAATTTACTTTACTATGTTTTTGATGTCTCTTGGATTTAGTATTATACTCACAGGAGTATGGCCATATCTTGACAAAGTAAGCATAATAAGAGTATAACAAGAGTAGATTATAAATATGTAACAATATATTAAAATTGCAGTTGGATAGCAAAGCAGGCAAAGAATTTATGGGATATGTAGTTGCAGCTAATCCCTTGGCACAAATGTTATTTTCTCCTTTAGTAGGATGGTGGGGAGATAAGAGAGGATCAATAAGATTACCTTTGTTAACAACATTAGCCCTTTTTACATTTGCATCAGGATTATATAGTATTCTTGAAATTTTACCAGGCGATCAAAAAATTTTCATGATTGCTGCCAGATTCTTGGTTGGAGTTAGTTCTGGTTAATATTTTACTTAATTTTGAATTATGATGAATACTATTATAATACAACCGGTATAATACTAATTTTCGTTCCAATAATATACCAATGATTTATTTTTAGCAAATATTGCAGTTGCACGGTCATACCTTTCTGCAGCTACTAAAGTTGAAGAAAGAACACATGCAGTTTCTATGGTATCTCTTGCTCAGGTAATGTAGTTTAGTATTTTCTCCTTGCTTAATTCCATAAGTAAAATATGATTATATAATATATTTTAAATTTGTTTAGGTACTGGGGTTTGTTGTAGGTCCCGGATTACAAGCAGCAGTTACACCTCTTGGAGAGAATGGTTTTTATTTTCTGAATTTACCTGTTAATATGTATAGTATGACTGGTTGGATAAATGTTATAATGGGAGTTCTTAATTTTGTTTTGTTTCTTCCATGGAATTTCAAGGAACATAGGATTGCTTTACGTGAAGCTATGCAAAATGAAGGAAAAGCAACAGGTAAAATGTTCAATGTTAAGTAATATCAATATAAATAAATCAATTTTAATGGATCCATTAAACGTTCTATGTATCAACTACAGAAGAAGAAACGTTGAAGTCTGTAAAACCCGATTATGTAGCATCTTTGACATTAATTTGTGCTTTTTTTGTCTTGGTATTTAATTTCGTTCTCCTTGAAACGTTAGTATAATAATTTCATTGATATACTTTCCTCTTTGTTTATCACTCTTCACCTTTTTTAACTTCTTTTAGGCTTGGTACTTCTTTAACTATGGATCAGTTTGCTTGGTCAAAGAAAGAATCTTTATATTATATGGGTTTATTGATGAGTATTGGTGCTATTGTTTCTTGTATTACATTCGTTATGATCGAGCCTTTATGTAAAAGGTTACTATATTTTATAGAAATATACAGCAAAAACTGACTTTTTTCTGTTTATCATTTAATTATTATTAGGTTCAACGAACGTAAGGTGATGCTGTGGGGTGGTTTCTTTTTTATGATTATTGGAAGAATACTGTGCATCCCATGGGGCCCTGATCCTCCACAAATTGCCTATGTGAAATGTGAGTACAGAAACGTATTTATTTTGTTTGTATTATATATGTCATTTAAACTTGTTAGCTAATGTATAGTTAAGAATTTAATTTATTTTTAAAAGATTTTCCGAATTTTATATTTTTCTACACAAACTTTTATTATATTTTATAGTGTTTAGTAATGGTACAAAAGATACTAATGCTACAGAAATATTAGGATGTCCCAGTACTCAAGAGTGGTGTTTATATACTCCCCAACTCACAGTCACACAATTTTTTATTGGATATGGTTTTACCACCATAGGCTATCCGTTAGGTGTTACTTTAATACAAACTATCTTTAGCAAGGTGTTAGGACCGCGGCCACAAGGTGTGTGGATGGGTTTCATGACAGGTGCTGGATGTGCATCTCGTGGCTTAGGTCCAGTATTTGTTAGTGTAATATATTCACGTTTTGGAACATACTATGCTTTTGGTATTACTGGCGCAATGTTAGTAGTGTGTATGTTGTGGCTACAAATTGTGAACAAGCGTCTAGTCCCTCCTAAAGCAATTGTTTCAAAAGATGAAGAAAAACATGATGTTGAAATTCCTTTGGTTCATTTTAAATCTAATAATGCTCAAGAGTCAAATGACGCACAAAAAAATAATGAAATCGTAGAATGTGACGATGTTCAGCAATAATCGCTTTGAAATACAATTTTATATTATATTATTTTAAATGTATCAACATATACGACTGTTATTAGGAACTGGTTACACATGCAATTATGATATTACATCAAATGCAAGTATATTTTTTGTGAATATTTACAGATTTCTTACACAGATTTTACATGTATAAACATATAAACAGACTGTAAAGAAATATACGTACAAATAATGAAAGAATACAATTAGGATGATGTAGCTTTTAAGTAAAGGTAGATAAATTTCTATAGATACAAATTCGTGCAGTTTTACTGTTAATCTATTTTTGTATTGAAATCTTAAAGAAGAATCGACATCAGAAAATTTATTGTTTAAAAAGAAAAAAATTAGATTCGTATTATGAATTCAGGATATAGTGTTAAAGTATATAACAAATGACTTAAGACAAACAATAATATGGTAGTACAAACAATTTTGAACTATTCATTTACAATGAATTAAATCATTCAAAATGTTGTCACATCCTTTGAATTTATAAAAATACTAATGTTAATAATAAAGACTGATATTTAGATAAATATATTAACATTAAATATTAAAATAAAAGGTTAATCAAATTAGTAATTTCAAATGTTTTCTACCAAACAATTGAACTTTTTTAATGTACTTACCACGATCAAAGATCTTATACAACTTTTACTTTACAAAGTATTGTTAATGAAATATCCTTTTTCAAATATATATGTATATATCTTTTAAAGAAGTTACATCATGAAATATTATGTATGATGAGGGTTGGGAATAAAATAAAGAAAAACGTGGAGATGTAAAAAAAATAGAATTTTAGATGACTACTCTGCTTTTATAAGAATAAATCTATAAAAGTATTTATTTTAAACATTAAATATATTTTAGTAATTACTTTAAATAATAAATGTTAGTTTTTGAAGTTCATTCAAAGAGGATTTATAAAACATACACAGTTTTATTAATATTTCTCATTAAAAATGAGAATTACTTAATTAATTCTTATTTTATTGGTCTACATACAGAGTTGATATATAATTATCGTAAAAAAGGATTAAATAAAGTTTTATGGGAAAAGCTACGAACTGAAAAAAATATTATAAATATAAAGATCTGCAGTAATGTATGTTCTTATGTAATTACGAGATTGTAGAATGATTATAAGTTTTAAAAAAACATTAACATGGATTCTTAGAAATAAATGACAGAAATGTTGATATTTCATATAAATTACACTTAGAGTTACAATTAGTCTTTCTTCTTTGGCTTTTTGGGATTGCGTGATCGCGATTTAGCTTTACAAAGGGGACAAATTGGTGCGTTCCTATGAATTTGTTGATGACAGGATAAACATGACTTCATAGGAGGCGGTTGTTGCCTGAAAGCAAAGAAACAAAACATAGAAAGAGTAGTATGCCATTATATATTCATGTATTACTGTATGTATTATTATCTTTATCAATAAAATTCTTATCATATTAAGTACATTATAATGCAATTAATTTTATGACTTATATGTTACTATGAAATAAAATTAGTATTTGCATGCTTTGTTATATAAAAATGTAATATAAAATTGAGTTATACCAGTGGTACCTGAATGTTGGAGCAGGTGGACCTGGTGCTGGGGGTAATGGTCTTGGTTCTGGTTTACTTGGACCTTGAAGGGGTTGAGGGGCAAGGAAAGGTGTAGAACTACCTGGATGACCAGGATGGTGTAAGGCAAGTGGAGGTAATAAATCTTCACCCCGTACTTCCACCCTCCATTCTGCCTTCTGCATCGGACGGTCGAAATAGCTGCGAACAAACCATCTACGCGATAAAAGTTATATTCATAGTTTCATTAATTTTAACCAAAGATAATTATTATAAACAAGCAACAAGAAACAAGATAGATTATTACAGTATACTTACTCTGGTGAAATGAGATCTGATTCAGTTTCATACAATTCTGGTAACCTTTCTAGTCCTAGGAATTCTCTGCGCATACGATCAATGTCATGCTTCAAGGGTTGATAGTCGTTATTATGAATTAATTTTGCAGTCTCTCTTGCTTTGTTCCTAGCTTCCTCTGCTTGTTTAATGACAGCTTCCATCTGAAATTGTTACATAAATGATTACACGTTCAGTTTACTTTAAAGATGACATTACAATAACCACATATTATACCGCATTAATATCTGCGTGTATTTGACGCAATTCTTCGACATGTGCCATTTTTTCTTGCATAAGAAGATCCATTTCCTGTTTGTATTCTATTAAACATTTCTCTTCTTGTTCGGTCTGTTCTACTTCTTGTAAAATCCTCTGTTTCATTTTCTCCAATTGAACAGTCTTCGACCTGGTAGAAAGAAGAAAGCTATTTATTCGACGAAAAACTACATACACATATCGTGAAATGTACAATATTAGCAGTATGCAAAGCTGTTTTACAATTTACAGATTTTTATAAAATTCTATCGAATTCATGAAAGAGTGTTGAGAATATAAACTCGAGTATATACTTGATGTCTTTCAGAGCTTCCAACTTGGCAAAAATAACCGTGGTTTCAGTAGCAGACATCATTAGACGCTTATTGGCACTGTTGTTTAGACAAGTCCTGTCAAACGGAAGACAACTTGTTTATGAAATAAACGCGGCGAATTCGGGAGCGGCACGTTTTTCGTCAAGGCATAGCGAAGTAAATATTGGCGAAAGAATCGATACGACACTATGTGTCCGATAGTTTCATTGAAAATCAAACGGAATCGTTGGACTCGCAATTGTATTTTCAAAAATTAACCAACGCCATTGCAGTGTAATACAATCAGTGTCGCCAGATTTGGCGTTTGCGAGTCACGGAAATACGACGAATCTACTGTGCTATCGACATGCCATCTAATGCCATCTAGCAGAACGCTGCGGAACAAACGCGTGCCAATACACGAGTCATGCGTACGTATGTGAAAAATTGAAACGGTGCAGTGGCGGCAAAAACCATACATATGAATTCGAAGCGAACAATCTGTTTAATTTCATTAAATGACGATTGTACTCCGCAATAGCGTAGTTTCATGGTCGATATAATAATTTTCAACCCCTATGGTTAGGTGCTCATCATATATTATATCTAGTAGTGTATGTATAAGGAATTAATTAACTATAATTTCAAGTACCTTTATTTCTAACAATAACTTTGTCCCTATTTCTATCACATCGTTATAGTAAGAAAGTCATCGTTGAGATTTTTATGGTATACCTGAGAGGTACTCACTTTTTCTTCTATCGTTTTATATGTGTTTCTACAGACTAATTAACACACTAAAGCTATATTTTACCCTGAGCGAATAAAACACTATCCGAATGACTATTTTACCAACCGTTAGAAACAAATACTCGTGCGGTGTTCCTTTTCGTTATTTATTATTCGAATTAACTATTGGCCACCTTGGCTTTTAAACGAGTCGATGAGAAAAGATGGTGGCCATGATCGGTGATACATTGGCGGATACATGTTTCGCAGACAATTGAAGGAGTCTGAGCGTTGCAGGCATAAAACATCCTCGCGCGGTGGTAGGAATGCCCAATCAGCCGCGTAGATCGTCTCCGTACCCCGGCGGCCCAGTTACTGACCGAATTTTTACAATGATTCAGATAAGAGACCGTCGGAAAAGCAACGGCCGTGTTGGTCACGATGGCCTCGTCTTCTCCCCCAGCCTATTCGTCGTCACGACGGCCGCCCGAACCATCAGTCCTCCTCCTACTTAGCGGCGGGTACAAACTTCTGCAGTTCGTGTGACTAAGCACCGACAAAGTTTTGAGTGTCTCTGAAGCTTCGCGAGCTGTGAATATAGGACAGAGGAGAGTGCCCCCCGACGGGCGTAAAGTCGAGAGGTGGCTACGACGGGATCCGCGGCCACCACGTCGCGCGCAAAGGGGAACACTTTTTCCGCTTTAACGGAAAGCTCGCCTCTCATCTGCGGAGAGAGTGCATTCGACGAGTTTCCTGCGTGGCGACGTGTCATGGGGTCCAGAATGGGGTCTAAAATGTAAGTAATTCAGACGAACGCGTTGTATTTCCCGGCGTTTACACGTTTACCCTTCCGTGTCGAGCGTCTCACGCTCCCTGCGCGTGAAACTATACATACATACACGGGAATTATAACGTCCGCGTAACGAGGACTAGTTCCTAAATCTCGACAAAACTTGCTATTGTACAAAAAAGTAAAACAAACATAAAGGTCAAGCGACTCGCGAAATTTAGTGAATGAGTTCGGCTGTTTGACAAGTCACTTTTAACTGATAAGCTTTGCGAGACGTGAAACACGTCCACTGATTCGTTTAACCAGTTATCAATGATTAACCGAATGCGAAGAATACACAGAACATACAACATTATTGCTACCAAAAATAATTAATCTAATTGAAAACATTTCAAATGCAACCTGTTCAAATTTAATAACAGTTGTTTTTTTTTACCAGCTTCAGCATAAATTTGTATATCTATGGGATCATCGTTATCACATGTAACAGCTGACCTTATAATGGAAATTTTTGAAGAAAACATCATAAAAAGATACGTCGATGAAATTCGGTTCGCTCTACCAGTATATCACAACAGACTAAATTTCTTACTTGAAATTGCAAACGGCAAATTAATTACAAAGTACCAAAGGCGTACGTGAGTTTTTAGTAAGGCTTTGTCCTAATGCGTATAAGTTAGTCACGCCCCGCGAGGCTGCCGCGAATTTATTATTCTCACGCGTGATTCGCATGTTTCTTTTACGAACCTTTTCGCGAGTTTTCACGAGTTTGAGCGTTGAACACGGCCCGAAAAGGACCTTGCGAGTCTGAGTTAGGTAGTCGGGACAAACTAAGGTTCACCTTGTCTATCATTACGCTTCGCTAACTAATTTGCACTGGTAATTGTTAGTATCACTTTAAACCGTCCTTCGAAATATTTGTAAAACGTAACTCCTATTTACGGGAGCGTTTAGACCACGGTAATTGACACACCCGTTTGCGCAGCGGTTCTCTTTTACTTTCATAGCTGTTAGCGAATACAGCAGTAGGTAAACACAGTTATCGGTAAAAATTCAACTTCCCGGTCTTTGTTTTTCTTTTTGACTGGGTTTTCTTAATCCTTTGTGGTAGGCTGGCCTATTTTTGTCTTTTCTATACAAAAGGGAGCGATTTATCATCAAATGTGCTACGACCATCATTGACGCTATTACATTTTTGAAAATAATTGATGAGGGGGTAGTGAGTTACTACCGACATTGACGGTGCCACATTTTACTTTTCATCTTGGAATTATATTCAGACGTAGGTTTGCCCTCAGGGGCTGTAGCTATGATTGTAGCTACAGTACGGGTTTAGCAATCCCGAGGTACCCGAGCTATACGGGGGAGTAGTGAGCCTCAACAATTATTGACATCCCCATTAGGCATGCCAGAGAATTATGAAGAGATATATCTAAGCAAATGAAAAGTATCGTAATGCAAGAATTAGATGAATGTAAAGAACGAACGAATGCAAGACTTGTACATTTAGGTGTTATAGTCAAAATATATGACTTCGTATCTTTATAAATGAAACTCGCTCTGAAGTGGGGTTTTAGAAGCTACATAGATCCTAAACTAGCATCGCGAAAGTTCTGCAACATCGTTATCGGCTTTGTTCTTCTTTATCGAAACTATGAACCACTGTGAGCGTGATCTGTGTACTGGCCAGTGATTCATGGATCAGTTGGACCGAGAAGTGTGATGTACTCGTGGCAATTAGTTGGTCGTGTTTACGAAAGATTCTGGGGAACGATACAAATATCAAGAGTAAAGGAAACATTTACTTATTAGCGATGCTTCACCGAGCAATAGAACCACATGAATGAACGAGTACATACTTATTTTTAGTCGCCCGAAATTTCCGAACGGACAGGATGACTAAACGGTGATCGAACACGTTCAAATTTCATTAACGTGCGTGAATGTAGACTGCATCAATCGGTTAAGGAAATCTCACAGTGTTTTTCGATCTAATTAGCGTCGAAACAGATTCGTTACCAAACAACGAATTCTTCTTCAAAGCGTTAAATTATTTTGTTATTCGCTTTGTATTTTAGTTGTCCCTTTGATATTGAAATGTGGGTCGTTTCAAGTTCGCTTCACTGATCGAGGGTTAACGCAACCGTGTTTCTTCAAAGCTGACCAACATCCCTCTATTGTCACAGAGTAAATCTTCCATGGAGACCTCGGTTCGAGATAAGCTTATTTGCTCTGAAAAAGATTTTGCGTTTCCTTCGATAGGAGATCGTCATCGTAGAGAATTGCTCGATTGGTCGACGAGTTTCGCGTAAGTCTTGAACAAACACGTTTATCATCGCGCAAACGTACTGTGTTGTTTCGCATAATGAACGCAGCTTTCATTCAACGGTAACGATAATGTCCACTGTCGTCTATTCCAGTCTTCTCACCGTTTTCGTTGTTTTGTTTTTCTTCAGCTTCGTGAATATTATTTAATTTAACGGATCGGAGCACAGCGTAAATATTTGTACAGCGAACAATTACCGACCTCCTTACGTTTTTCTTATTATCGGCGTTTTACGACAAACATTGTTCTCTTCGATATTTATTTTCTATTATCGCTCTCCGCGGCCAATTAAAAATATTTGAATAATGCCGTGCTGTAACGCAAACGGGAAATATTTTGTTTGCTTTCAGTCGTGTTTCCGATTACGAGTGACATTGTAAATCATGTAAGATTCGCGAATAGTTTATTTCGATGTAATTAATAAAAAAAAATGGAGTATATATTCAACAAACCTAGTTTTTTTAATGAGATTCTATTCCATTTCTATTGTGATATTTACATAAAGCGATTATCTGTTCGTTATAGGGCGAGAAACTTGTCTCGGAATCTGGAGAAAAACAAAGTTCCGTCTTATTCTTTTTGTTCCACTTTTCCTCGCAAACATGCAATCAATTGTTCATATCGGAGCATCGATAAGAATGATGCAATCAGGGCGACAAATATCACCTGTCTGATTGGAACGCAAGAGCATTGTGCCTCGCTCGAAGACATAAGAGTCGTCTAAGACGTTCGACGGAGAAAAAAATGCGTGTAGTTTGAATTTACAAGGACTTTTTCTCCCGTTCATTGTATTATTTATTGCGATCGCCAACGTTCGCTGTTGAATTAGTAAAACACGGTGGAAAATCGAATGCCAACAACGAATGGAAACGAAATCAGATACTGAGCTGATTTGTTGCTTTCGTTGAGGTATCGAACGTCCGATACCGATTTTGACATATTAATCAACCGAATATCTATATCTGTATGCACGGTGTAACAATAAACCACAGCATGATAGTTGTAACTAAGCTGTTGCTTCTGGTATAAGCTGGTGTAAACCAGTCTTAATCGATTTTTCCCCGTTTCCGTAGGATCGAACAAGACAAAATACGTGTAAAGCATGTATAACGTACAGCTGTACAGTGTTCATTCGTCTTATGTGGCCTATATGGCGTTATCAAATGCATTTCATAGGAAATGGTACACGCTTGTGTGCTTTCTACTCGCTCAGTGCAAATGTAGTAAATAATTTAGTATGTAGTATCTAAATGTTTTGCTATTAGTTACTCATTCTTATCGTAATTCAATTTTCACGATATATGACAAGCCGATACGATAGTTTTAATTTCCTTTAATTGAGAAAGTACAGTATAAATTTCTTATTTTTTAAATGCTTTGCGATATTTGATGACTCATTGTGCGTCATACGATGCATTTAATTGTATCGATTGGAAGTATTTTTGTTATTAATTATTTTAACGACTCTATCGATCTTTAATTTCTGCTTTACATAAACGATTGTCATTATTTT